ACAATAACGGCTAGTTTCTTTTCTTGCCTAAAAAACAGGAGATTATAAAATTAGGTGCTAAGCGACTGATCATTCCTGGAAACGGACCCCTCGGATGCTACCCGTATATTTTGACCGAGCTAGCATCAAACGATCCAAAGGCGTATGACGAGCTCGGGTGTTTGGCTACAGTGAACAATTTCACAGTTTGGAAAAATAACTATCTCCTAAATGCCATGGTAAAGCTCGAAAATGAATTTCCGGACGTGCAGATACTTTATGGCGACATGTATAATGGCCTCCGGGCACTTCTTGTCAATTCAACAGTCATAGGCAAGTTTTTCTTTTGTTGTTATAACTTTTATGTTATTTTTCCTTTTTAAGTTTGAACTTTGTTAACTTATATTTTAACAGGACCGGATGGAGTAAATCGTGCATTGAAATCATGTTGTGGGATCGGAGGGAAATACAACTTCGACCGAAAGAGATTTTGTGGCGACAAGGGAGTACCCGTTTGCTCCAATCCAAAAGATTACGTATTTTGGGACGGGATGCATTACACACAAGAGGGTCAAATGAGGGTCGAGAAGTCATTGATTTTTCCAGCTCTTGAGACGCTCAATTGCACGCCACCCGACACTACAGTTTCTTACTTGGGCAGCTGGGCTACTACTTATATGCGGGCTTCGCACTATCTGGCTACCATGTGATAATCATCATCGTAATCATTAGTGGCTCAGTTGATGGTTCACCTTTAATTTCGTGTATGTTGTTCAATAATAAAGTTGAAACTCCTAAGCCAGAATAATAACAGTGTTAGAGCTGCAAGGTTTAGTGTTTTCAACACTCTTCATCAACAAAGAGCTTTCGTTTCACTTTCATGTTTTGGACTTTTATCCTTTCTGTACAATAATTTGCTGGCACGTGTTGTTCATAACATCTATCTATATCGTTTATATATTTTATTTCAACTTTTGACTAGACTAATATTACTTACATTCAAATCCCAAAGAGGATAAAACAAAAAAATAATAATAATAATAATAAATCAAAAAGATCACCCGGGATCAAGACTACAAACTCAAAGCTGCACCTCTCGATCATAAATCCAGCCAAACCGAACATCTCGAATGCATTGCTAAATGTGATGAAATGTTCCCCAAACTTTAACAAACCCCATGTTTTGGGCGATGATATATAAATCCCATAGAACCAAATAATCTAAAAGAGCAGTTGGAGCATATCACTCAGTACTCAAAGTCAAGCACATCAACATCAGCACTCATACAGCTGGGAAGTGATGAGCAATAAATATAACTTGATGATGATTGTAACTAAGTAGAAACTCAAGGGTATGCAGTCTTAAAATATAAAATCCCATAAAAGCAAGTAGTTTAACAGAATCAACATTATGCAGTCAAATTCAACAAAGAGTTGGAATAACAGTCTTATGTAGCACAATTAACAGCTATTGAAGAACTGATCTGCTAATGACATATAATTAAGTAAGTAGAGTATCACTGGAAACATCGGCTGCAAGTAAAGGAACTGGTTCATTCATGAATCTAATATATGAACTGTGTTGTGTCTCGGCTCATTCCAATTTCAATTTTTAAACCAAATTAAAAATAAAAAATAAAAATAAAGAAAATTTGGGAAGTCTCTTCTGGGAAAACACACAAGGCTACTTAAACATTTTCGAAGACAAACAGAGACAAGCAACAATAAGAAAAAAAAAAAAATAGAAAAAGGACCGAACCACAAATGCTTATATGAAATGATATGATGGCAGATTTATTCTCTCCAAGTCAATCGAAAGCGCATGCAGTGCTCCACGCTCTTAGAATCCTCGCTCTTAGAATCCTCTGGCAACAATGCTTCCCAAAATTTTGACCAACTTCTCTCTAGGACAGGATGCCATTTTTCCCCCTTTTTATCAAAAGTTTCAAAGACTACTTTCTCAAGATCTTGTCGCCATTGACGGCCCCTCGTTATTCGGCCACTTTCAAATCTTTCCTTCTCCATCCCCAGGATCTTGCACATCAACTCTGTTGTTTGATTGCGCCATTCCTGGAACAAATCTCTTGATTCTGGGTCAACAACAAGAGACCGTTGTATAATTCTCGGACGACAAATGCAAAATAGATTGTCCATAAAAGACGACACGGAATGCATAGATAGATTCAACTTCCCAATATGTAGAGACATTTCTGATCCGCTTACTGCCCTGAGCACTTGACCTAATCTGCCCAACCCTTGTGAAGTCTCTTGGAACAAATTACGAGTCCACAGGGTTATATCCGATTTCCACTTTTCCGAAGCTGCTGTGAAATAAAACGACTCTGGAATAAGGCCTTCATACTTAAACATAACTATGCTTGGCACATCAATGGTAGCCCTGTTCAACGGCACACTAGTATTATCAGTAGACAACTCAAATTTCTTGATTGAACGACTAGACAGCTCAAATTCCTCAAAGCCATAGCAATCTTTCAAGGATAGACTTTCAAGGCAAGGGAAGTTGTGCGAAAAGAAGCCGAATGACTCTGTAGAGAGTCTCACAGAAGATAGACTTAAAGACTTGAGATGAGGAAAATAGATTTCCTTGTCGTGATACCAATTCGAACATCTAACAACATTGATTTCCTCAAGATATGGGACGTCAATTTCAAGACTCGGCGACTCAATGACTTTGTATGAACCAGAACATTCAAATCGCTTGAGATAGCGAGCTCGTTTATCGATTCTGATGGCTCTCAACCCTACGCATCTATTGAGCTCCAATTCAATCAATGGGCAGCTACATATTATCTTCTCAAGAATTTCCTCCGTAATACAAACGTTCCAAAGGCAGAGTTTTTTTAGCTGAATTGATGACGACATATCACTGTGAAGAATATCATCGCGGCTCAAGTTGCAGTAGTTAAGACTCAAACGTTGGAGGGACTTGGATTCGAAAATTATAGAGGGCGGGTCAAAGCGCGCGTTTTCTTCTTCATACCAATCGAAAAGCAGATGAAAGGATTGTACAGCCCAGTCCCGAACAAGCACCGGAATCCACTTGTCAAGAAACAAAAACGACTCCGCATCGGGCGTTGGCAGTTCAACAAAGAATACTCGCGGACAAATCTTGTGATCATCGTATAATTGCAAGTGTCTTTGGAGGGCGTTGAGAAACTCTTGTTTACTTCCTTTAAAGCAAGTCTCTGCCATAATGAGATCGGGTCCTGTGGATTCGATATAGCGCCATGATTTGGAGAGTGTGCAAGTTCTAGCGGCTTCTCGTTGGGAGAGGCAACTGAGTATATAGTGCAATATCGGTAGTGGCAATTGGGATATTCTGTCGTCCATCAACCTCGGAGCCTTCATAATTTCTTACTAGTTTTGTTTGTGAAGATCACCCCAATTTTTAACCTTTCGCTTCCNTTTTAATAACCTGAGTCAATCACAGCAGTTATTAAACGATCAATGGAGAACAATCTTATGAACTGAAAAACTACCATCAGAAAGTGTTTGATGACTTTAAATTTCTCTTTGCAATGACTACTACATCTCCCTAATGAAATAAGAGAAACTATTTTAAAAATTCACATATTGCCAGAAGTATTCCTCGAATAGAACTCTTTTAAAAATTCACATATTAATTTTTTAATCTCTTTAACAATTCAATTTCTTATTTAACCCATCTCTCATTATTATCTAAAATAATATTTCCATTAAACTTCGCACTCCATTAACTAATTCCATAAACCTCTCCACAAATAAATAAACAGTAAAAAAAAATCTTACAAGCAATAGTAAAATCAAAATAAATATTACCAAAAAACTGAATAATTAGTGCAAGATTAGATAGATGGTATAAAAATATTTAAAAAAATGCGAATGTGTACTTGGACAAATTTGAATGTTTTGAAAGATTTTAATAAACTTGATACTTCAAAGTAAATATATTTTTTTTCTTTCATGCATATAGACCTATATACTTGTATGTATGTTTGTTTTATAATATTATTCACTTATTTTTTCTCGAAACATATATATCGTATATATTTTGTCTTCTAATATTATTCACTTATTTTTCTCGTTAACATGTTCATATTATTATCTCCGATATTTTTAAGTTGTGGTGTTATTTGGTTTTAATCAAATACTTGTTTTATTTTATTTATTTATTAATAGAGCATTAAAATCAATTGCTCATATTGTCTGTGGATAACATTAAAATCAATTGCTCATGATTGTTTCATGACCCTTTCTGTACAATAATTTGCTCGCTCCTGTTGTTCATAACATCTATCTATATCGTTTATCTTTATTTCAACTTTTGACTAGACTAATATTACTTACATTCAAATCCCAGAGAGGATAAAACAAAAAAATAAAAAATAAAAAAAAAAAAAGATCACCCGGGATCAAGACTACAAACTCAAAGCTGCACCTCTCGATCATAAATCCAGCTAAACCGAACCTCTCGAATGCATTGCTAAATGTGATCAAATGTAGCCCAAACTTTAACAAACTCCATGTTTTGGGCGAAAACTGAATTGCCCCCACGTTTGGGGAGATTTGAAGAAAGGTAAAAAGGAGTGCAGGTAAAAAGGGAATATAGTTAGAATTAATAGAAACAAGTATTTGTCATAAACTGCAAACACTCATTTGATGCCTGCATTCAAAACTAAGCCACGTGTGCGCCATGTGTGCGCCAGCGTGTAAAGAATAAGCCACGTGTGCGCCACGTGGCGTTCCGGGCCGGAAATAGTAAATTCGGCGAAAAAGTCCTACTTTTGATTATTTTTTAAAAGCTGTGGGACTATTCATATTTTGTGCATTCCGTCGGGACCAAAATTGTCAATCCCTTGTATCTGTGTGACTAATTTTGAATTTTTCCCCATATCACTCAATACTCAAAGTCAAGCACATCAACATCAGCACACATACGTGATGAGCAATTAATACTCCAATTAATATAGTTGGAACATATGAAACATGCTTCTACTCACAAACCGCTTTCTATTAACGGGTACTTTGTTAAACCGAACCCTCGGCTCTTGCGTAGCTCTCCCCCGAGTCCTCTCCTCCAACCTCCTAATTCTCGTATCCAAAAGACATTTTTCACATGATTCCCACCAGAGTTAAATACAGTTGCTATATATGTGGAAATTAGGAACTATTGGTATTGACGATCTGCAATAAAATTGTATAAATCTACAGATGAGCTATCTAAAATATGTAGAGAATCAAATATAAGCATGTTTACAAAGATGCTCTGGATCAGATTCGGAGATTAATAAACAGTTTTATCAAGTTGTTGGATGAAACACGAAGTCGAAAACAAAAACAACCGCAGATATGTTTGTGGACATATTAAAACACTATCATTTCATCAAACGGACAACATATTCACACACTAAATCATTTTATTAAATGAAGACAAGCAACAATAAACAGAAAGACCGAGACCTGATCAAATGCGTACAAGGATTAAAAAGGCACCACGTACAAGAATCAGTGCTGAAATGTTGGGGGCACAAATCGTAATTCCTTTAAGCAATATTTTGCTTGTCGAGATGGTCAACCACTTGACCGAATCATTTGCAAGATGGAATTCCTCGAAACCGAAGCAATTATCTATGGTCAAGCTCGCAAGAGTCGGGCAGCCAAACAATAAGAGTTCGAACGACTCACTCGACAGGATCACATTACAGAGATTCAAACTCGTGAGATGAGAGAACAAGAATGAGCTTTGGCGGTGAGACCAAATCCATGGGCCCGTGATAATGACTTTCTCGAGATTTAGGACATCGAATTCGATGCTACGCCCTTCGATCCTCTGGTAATTATACAATACAAAGTGCTTGAGCCCAGGCAATGCCGCCTCGGTCAGCCTAACATTTATCAACCCCTCACAACTATTAAGGATCAGGCGCCTGAGCAAAAGGCAACCCAAAGATATCTTCTCGAATGTCCCGCCATAAACTTGGACATGTTCGAGGATGATCGAGCGTGCGCAAACCTTTGAACCGCAATCTCTCGACCCTGCATTTGCGTAAGTGTAGTTCTTCGAGGGACTCGGCTGACAAGACTGCCGAGGGCAGGTCGTAACACGCTGGAGTTGGTGAAAGAAAGTTGAGTTTGAACGCTTTTATGGCTAAAATTGGGATCCATTTGTCGAGAAGGGAGACGACCGGTGGTGAGTCGGGGCTCGATAAGTGGAGATGGAGTTTGTGTATGGAGAGGTTTTGATCAAGGTATCCTTGTAGGGTTCGGTTGACTACCGAGACAAAGGTTTGTTGTGTAGTGTTGAACCCTTTGTTGGGGCGGCGACAAACTTTTCTTGTGTATTGTCGAACCATTCTTCAGAAAATTCGAGGTTGGGGCGGGTTGATCCTATGTGGCGCCATTTTATTGAGAGTAGACAAGTTCTCACAGCTCCTTTCTGGGTGAGGAAACAGAGGATGCGGTGAAGTATAGGTGTTGGCAGTTCGGATATTCTATCGTCCATGGCTGCCGAGGTATTCTCTTCTTTTTCTACTTTTTTTTCAAGAATTTATTAAAACATGAGTGATGAGTTACACCGTCAAACAGTCTTATAATATCACTATGAAGATGAGGTATTCTCTTTTTTTTTTTCATACTTTTTTTTAAAAGAATTTATTAAAACATGAGTTACACAGTCAATTAGTCTTTTAATATCAGTTTTTTAAAATACTTATAGCGTAATGCCTCGCGTTTTGATCTTTACTAGTACAGAGTCCGTGCGATGCACGGGGTTCATAATTTTAAGGCTATTTATTCAGACTTATAATTATATACATGAATAAAGAAAAATGTACGGGATATATATAGTACGTGACCCATGCGAAGCACGGGATATATTTATTTGGAGAATATTATATTATAAGATGCAATATTCAATAAAAGTTTATAATACGCAAGAAAATAAAATTGTACAATGTTCAATAAAAGTTTTGTAATATTCAAGTGGAGTCTTAAAGTCTCTTGTACATTAAGACTACTGACAAAATAATATTTCAATCAATGAGTTTCCTTTCCTTGTAGCCAAAATTGTGAATGTGATTTGAGGAGTACAACAAATCGATATATAGCTGACTTGCTTTTTTCATTGTAGTTTTTTTTTCTTATTTTTTTATAATGAATTTAAAAATATTCTAAAATATAGCAAAAATTAATTTTTTTATTACAATTAGGAATTTTACTAAATATAGACTCTCAATCTATGTTGTTAATCAACGTTTAAGTCTAAAAAATTAGGAATTCTTACCTTTTTTAATCAATGTTTAAGTCTAAAAAACAATAGAGTTATTATAAGTTTTTTTCTACATCTTTTAAAACATTAAATATGAGCATGTTAGGGCTAGCTTATAAAATAATTAATATATTATCTCACTAAAACATTTATACGAATAAAAATTTAATTTTTTACCATATAATTTATCCCTTGATATAAGAGAAAGTAACAATTTTATTTATTGTTGTTCACCATATAATATTTAATTATTATTTTATTATATAACAAAAAATTGTTAATAGTGTAGTAGAATTGTTATAAAATTATATGATTTTTTTTTTTACAATATGGATTTAAAATTTTTTTATTATTTGATAATATAAACAAATCTATACTTAACTTTGACAAATAAAACAAATAAATATTTTAGTAAGTATTTAATGTATATACTAAAATCAAATATCAAATATAATCAAATAAGTCAAAGTGTACATTTTTATTTGGTATTTTATTTTTTTGTTATTAAAATCTTTTTATTATACTTACCTTTTTAAAATAAAACAAATAAATAAATTAATTAAATAAATAAAATATTATAATACCAAAATAGTAATGACATTTAATGCAGTTGACTTTTCCAGATAGTAAATGTAGTAAATAGAATCTCATTTTATATAAGTATAGATATGATATTATATTATATTGCTCAAAATAGTAATGCATTTATTGCATTGACTTTTCAACTTACTAAATTTCGTAAATGGTACACCTTATTATATAAGTATAGATATTGCGTAGCTTAAATAACATCTAAGAATTATTTTTTACAAATGTTTAATTTAAGTATCATAATATAAATAATAAATATTGTAATTAATTTTTTTAATTTAATTATAATTTCATTATAACCACTACATCTAAACATTTTATTCTTAAATTTAAATGTCAAATACCAAAAAAATATAACGGTATAATAGACCTGAATCGATATATATTGCACTATTCAACTTAGGACTTTGCATTTCAAACTTTTAATTTGAAATCATTATCAAAATTATTAGTTTTTAGTTGCCATTTAAAATTATAACTCTAATCTATAGTAATATAAAGAGGTTGTTGAAAAATACTTTTATAGTAAGTTTGACTAAAAAAATAAATGGTTTGACTTACTATTAGTCGAAATTTTGAAAAGATACACAAGTGAATCTTTAGGAGTCAAATTTAATTGAAATATCCAAAAAAAAAAAAAATGAAGATTCTTATGGTAACTAACAAATTTGAATGTTTATTGTAAAGAAAAACGCTTTCCCTTCTCTCTTCCCCCAAATTCCCGTAACCCTAGTACCACCTCTCATCTGTGTAAGCTCGCTTTCCTCGGAGGCGGTGCGGCGCCAGCCGGTGGTCGCGCTCAACTGCCGCCCCTCCTCTGTCCCGGACCTCTGGAGTTGCTGCGGTGTGCTTGCGCCAATGGTAATCCCTGCTTTTTTTCGCCGGCGAAGTCGCGATTGGAGGCGGCGAGCTTTTCGGTCGTCGATTGGCTCGCAATTGGTCGCGTCAGTTGCCAGCTGGTCGCATTGGAGGTGAGTATTCCTCCATTTCCCTCTTCTGTTCCTATCTCTGTACCTATGTGCGAATGAAAGGCCTATCGGGCGTTTCTGTTTTTCGACGGGACTCCATTCAGGGTTTTCCCATATTGGTGTCGGTGGTATGTGGTGCTTTGGTTGGTTGTGGGTCGAGAGGTGAGGTGGGGCTCTGACGGGGTGTTGAAACTGAAGGCCTGAGTTGCCGCCCTTGTTTCGACTAGTGGTGTTAGACGGCAGGGATCTGGTGCTCCGACGCTCGGCTAGTGGCGTTAGGCAGGCTCGGGCGGTGCTAGAGTGGGTGCGTGTTCAGTTGTCCTTCCAGTTGAGGCGGGTCCTTTCGGAGTTTGGTTTGTGTTCGGGAGCTGTCCCCTGGACTTGGATTATCCTTTGATATCGACCGTTCTCCGTTGGTTCGAGCTGGCCGATTTGCTGCGGAAGGGCCTTTTTCTTTAGCTGTGCTTTTCCTTGTTTTGTTATGTAGTAGATTGGTTGTAGATTGGTGTTTTGGTTGGGCTCTTTACCTGTGTATCTTTGCCCTGTGTCTTTGGTTTGGGTCGTTGGCCCCTGTGAACCCGAGTGTGACTTTATTGTCCTGATGAGATCCCACACTCGGGCATTACCCTGTTGGGGTCTTTTCGTTTCCGTTTTCTTTTTTTCTTTGTTATTCTCCTTTGGGAGCTTTTAGTGTTGGTTGTGTTTTTTGAGTTTCTAGAGTATTACCCAGTTGGGGTCGGTTCTAGACAGTCATTCGACATGTCCTCCTATTTTACTCAGCTGTTGGTTGTTTGTATTCAGCTGGTGGCTGTACTTTTGCACATTTGTGCCATTTTATATAATACCTCTATCGTTTCGGGAAAAAAAAAATTGAAAATTCTTATGTCAAATTTTAATTCATTTTCTTAAATATGAATCCCATTTTTATTGGTAACAAGTTTGGAGATTCTTATCCCAAAAAATTGAGATATCCCAACAATTACGAATTTTTTTTCATTCAAATTAATGTTGTAAATCAAACAATAAATTGTTTGGAGAATAATGGACGATGTAATAAACATTGATAAACTTCAATCCTCCATAAATTATTTGTATTTAGAAATTTTGTGTGCAAATATATTGATTTGCTTTCATAAATAATAATAAATTATATTATTTTATGACCTAACTTCTAACTTCTTTTTTTTTTTTGGTAGTTTATATTCTTTAATTGAAATAATATATAACTTAATTGATTGAAACAACTTATTTTCCGTAATATAATCAAAGAATATAAAATAATTTACTAATTGACAAAATTTTACAACCTAAATATGCATATCTATTAATATATAAAAAGGTGAAACATTTAGCTGAAATAGTATGTAAAATCCTGCCTAAAATTTTTGTTTTTTATTGATAATGGATTTTTTTTTTTAATTTTTGCAAGTTCCAGTCCAAAGCACAAGTGGATTTTTTTTAAAAAAAAAAAAATCCGACCAAGTCTCTATATATTGATATTTTATTTGTTTATATTTATCTAGCTACAAAATATTTTTTAAGTTTGAAAAGAATCATATATTATGTGAATTCTCAATAAACATTTTTTTTCCATATTTATCTAACTATAATATTTTAAATTTTGGAAAGAAGCTATTTTTTTAAAGTATGTACTCAATTGATCCCCAATATAAACCCCACCCGATTCAATCACAAAATCCTAAGATTAAGACAAAAAAAAATCAGTTAGCCCCAGATAAAAAAGATAAAAAATAAAAAAAAATAAACAAAACAAAATACCCTCCAAATAAAAAATTCAAATTCCGCCTATCGAATCTTAGGGTTTACTCGACATAACAATCGGCGGCCAGCTCGCCGGCCAGATCGTGATGGAGCTCTTCGTCGACGTTGTCCCGAAGACCGTCAAGAACTTCAGTGCCCTATGCACCGATAAGGGTATTAGAATATCCGACAAGCCCCTCCCCCACAAGGGGTCATCCTTCCACCGTGTAATCCCTGATTTCATTTGCCAGGGCGGCGACTTCACTGCAGGTAAAGAATAATTGATATATCAAATTTAATTGAGATATAATAAGTTTGACTAAAAAAAATAAATGGTTTGACTTATTATTAGTGAAAATTTTGAAATAAACACAAGTGAATCTTTAGGAATCATATTTAATTGAGATATCCCAAAAAAATTGGAGATCCTTATGGTAACTAACAAATTTAGAGATTCTTATGCAAAATTTTTATTTATTTCTTAAATATGAATCTCATTTTTATTAGTAACAAATTTGAAAATTCTTATGCCAAAAAATTGAGATATCCCAACAATTACGGATTTTTTCCATTCAAGTTGATGTTGTAAATCAAACAATAAATTGTTCCGAGAATAATGGATGATATAATAAACATTGATATACTCCAATCCTCTATAAATTATATCTATTTAGGAATTTTAAAAATGTAAGCAACTTGACATATTTCAAGAATAATATAGAATAGTTTAGGTATTTTTGCATATGTTATATACTAATTTAAGTTTTTTAATATTTAAATAAACATGTTTTATGTTCTTTTACACAAGTTCATATAATGTATAGTTTTCAATAAACTGAAATTATCTCAATTTTAATGACAATTCTGTTTTGAAACTTTTCAAATAATACCGCTTTTATTTGGGTTTGAACTTGCAAAATTCTAAATATTTTTATCCAATCTCACTGTTTATCAGATTGACCATAAATAGGAGTCATGGTCAATCCTTATCTCATGTTGACTTCATGACCAGTTATATGTCGGTGTCTCTCGCGTTACTAAGTAAAATTTTTGAAAATTTTAATTTGTGGAGAATGTTCAACAATATATGTTTTTTCATACTTTGTAATTTTTTTCTTGACATAATGAAATGTTTAATTTTCAATAATTATATTTATAATAAAGTTTTAAGAAAAGTTTTGAGAAATAAACCTCACCGTGCATCGCGCGGGTTGTTCACTAGTATATATAATAAGAATTAACTTAAATCATGTATAGAAATATTTTCCCACCATGCATTAATTACACCCTATTTATAGTAATTTTGGACAAGTCTTTATAAGCATTAATAATGATTAGATTTAACATACCTTAACAATTGCAATTAATTAAATTTATTCTAGAATCACAGATTTTATAGCCTTATCCGATTAAGGTTGTTATTTAGTGTACCAATAAAATCGAATTTATCAATAGGAAAGCATATCTACTTGTTATGGAGTCGTTTATTTTTTTTTTTGTACAACAATCAATGTTATTCTTTCAAAATTTACAAACAAAATTCCAGTATACATGGACTTCTTAATTTATTNAAAAAAAATACATAGCAACAATTCAATCTAATTGAATACGACACTAATTTTTATTCACTTACCTTGAGTAAGCAGCAAATTATTTAAAACTTACATTATTTTTCGTACAAGAATCTCCGAATTCTTTTAAATTTTACAAACAAAATTTCAATTCACATGGTCTTTTTAAACACTACATAACAATATTTCAATTTAATTAAATCGTTTATTATATAATTTGTATGATATTATTAAGATGATAACAGTACTTCCCCATAAAACTTGTGCATAATTATCACCAAAAAAATAATATCACAGAAACCACTGAAACGAACCCACAATAATAAGATTTTTAGAAAGTTATATTTCCTACTATCAATTTTTTTATTATTATCACGATAAAATAAATTCAACCCACACATTTCAAAGCCAGATCATGCAAATTCGTGGTTAAAATTATCACCCAACAAAATCGCATAATTATCACCACAACAATTTCAAAAATCGGATAAACAGAAGTCCCAACATATGTAGTATTGAATTACATTCCCACCATATATGGTCATGCTCGAAAACAAAGCCAATAAATTCATGCGAACCAAAAACAAATTGAAAACCTTATTTACATCAATCAAATTATCTATATCTATGTATATAAAATAAGAATAGACTTAAATCAATTACATAATATTTTCCCGCCATTTTGCATTAATATCCTCCTAAATATAATATTTTTAGATAATTCGGGATAACAAATATCAGAGCATTAACTGTGATCAGTTTATGGAATCAACTGATTTAATAGTTTATGGAAGCATTTTCCAATTTTTATGGAATCAAATAATATAGTATTATAATAATATAATTCTGCCAAAACAAAGAGTGTAATCAATTTAAAATTCCTATAAGATCCAGATTTATGTGTCAAATGACTATGTGTAGCCTAGCGACCGACAGGCATTTTGGGCTGTCTGGGCAATCGGGCAGGTCTTTGGGAAGTCGGGCAGAACAAAAGCTTGTTCAGGAAGGCAATAATCTGCTACAAAGGCTATAGACTAAGGCTTCGATTGTACTGACGTTCTGAATTCCGATTGCTTCTAGGCAACTTGACGAGATAAAGGAATGCGTGGCACCAGTATCACATATAGCAAATACAGGTATATTTTGCACAAAAAACATGCCAGACATAGTATCTTGGCACTCTCCTGGAAAAATCTGCATCTATATATACAAAGAGGATTCATTTATACATACAGTGTTAACCTAATGCTAATAGTCCTCATATGTATCGCATTCACCATAAACTGGAACACCAAAAGAAACATCATAAGTTGTGGTCTTATGATACAAGATAAAGATAATTATGTTCTCTCCTCCATAGCAATTAACTCCTGAAGAATCTTGAATGCAAAGTTAAGGATACAGCAATTTGAAACATCACGAGTATATATCATAGTGAGGATTGCCTGCCAATTCTTTTCCATCGTCCTAGTTTCTCTCGTCCCTGCCAAAATAAATAAATAAATAAGTATTAAAAAAAAAAAAAAAAAAAAAAAAAAAAAAAAAAAACTCTGATTGTTATTAAATAAATNGAACGGCCACATTGAAATTCAGATTGAATAAAAGAATCAGCCATGAAATTCAATTAAGTACAGTCATCTCAATTCTACTGAACCACAAGTCTTCATCATAGATTTCAAAAATAAAATAAATAAATACAAACTAAGGCTAAGCATACACAAAATCACAGTTCATATGTCCGATTTGCATAACCAAATTAATAAGCATGCGCGTCTTCATAAAATCATTACCAGTCGAGGGGCAATAGCCAGTTCATTTTCCGCAATATAAGTTGCGTTAAAACCGACAGGGTGCAATGCTTCTTCATAACTACAGATAAAAAAGGATTTGCTGTCAGCAAGTTTATCAAGGAACAGGAACAAATGATATATAACTGAAGACTGAGTCGAATATTACTCGGCAACCGATACGCTATACGGAGGCCCACCTTCGTGGTCATCAATCTGCCAAATTGATATATTTTTTAAATGACTAATAAGAAAAGAAAAATTAGCATTATATAAAAAGGCATGATAATTACTAGATACAGATCATATAGAACCTGAAAGAATAAATATTTCAAGTTATCAATTTCCAAGATATTGTTTGTGCAAAGAATTACTGGTTATTGATACAACTAGTATTTGCTAATGAAATTACAAATGTGAAGAAACTAATGATTACAACAACAACAACATACCCAGTATATTCCCAACAGGTTGGGGTCTGGGAGGTCAGTTGTATGCAGACCTTACCCTTGTAATTATACAAGGAGGCTGTTTCCGTAGCGACCCAAGGTGCATTGCGCCGTTTGATATATTTTTTTTTTTTTCTAGAAACTTCACTAATAGAAGAAGCACTAGAATTTAATTGAGTCATTTTGATCTAGTCCATTATTAGCACTATGCCAGGAGAATTGTCAACAATGACTCTTCCAGCTCCATTTGCAATGGACAAGTGAAGAAACTAATGGTTAACCCATTAAATTTCAAACTCAGCATAATCGCACAATGTTGTTCACAAAGGCATTCCAAGCATCGTCCATGGTTCATATTTGCTAAGCAAGTACAACGTGTAGAATTATAAATTAGTTTTGCCAAGTGCAAAAGAAAAGATTTACTAACCGGAAACATTAGTGTTATGAGCTCGCCATCGGGTTTTAGAAGATCATTAACTTTTGTTGCCCACAATGACCTTAACTTTGGTTCAATGGCACAGAAAAACCTGTGGAGACAATTTTGTATCCTGATGAACACTAATGCAATACTCAGGAAAATAAATAATTTAAATATTACCCCAAATACTTACGTATAGTCAAAAATGAGATCAAACAACTCAGCTGGATGCCAAGTGAAGAAGTCCGTCTTTAAAAAAGTTAAATGCTCCGCATTTGGTGACCGATATGACAACTGCCATAACATGTCAGACAATAACTTAAAGCAAAAACCTTAATAATATTACATACATACCACATTGTAAAAGTAAAACGGACATTTTAGCTGGCTAACTAAAAGAAACTAATGCTTATATGGTTTACAAGAAATATAATAATGTTGAACTTTACTTCTCTTATGAAATTATCTCATCACTCCTACACTATTATATATAATGACAAAAAATTTACTATTAAGTTCTAAAAGGTCGCTTTAGTTCGGGAGTTACATAATTCAGAGGATTTCAAAACTTACAGATATGAAATAGCTTGAGTCTGAAGTCTACTCATTTGAAATTTCTTTCTTGGGTGTAATATGTACTAGAGCTGCAATTTGTCTCACGGAAATAACTTTTTTTTAAAAAAAAAAGTAACTGTGCAGGGACACACGGCAAGAGATTAAAGTACAAACCCGGACTATTAATTAAATACAGGATATGACAAAATGCAAACCAACTGAATCAGTAAGCAGTAAGCACACAGCAGAAAGCATAAAGATGGGTATTTCTTGTATGGGCGATCAAATGAAGCAGCCATGCACACGACAAATATAAAAAAATATCTGAGACAAAAGATAGTGTTACACATTATTTGAGTCTATGACAGAAGATGCAAAGGGAAAAATTATTAATTGGAGTTTCTAATAGTCAATTTTTCCCACAAGAAAATTGCATGTGGGAAACCCTTAATACTAAACATTACATAAAAACATTAGATCCCGTTTT